AAAGCAGCCAAAAGGCCACGATAAAGGGACTGAGGGTTTGGAGAGTTGCAGCGTTGTGAGAGTTCTGAGAGTTGTTTGACTACGCAAACTTTTCTTCAGTTGAGAGTTTTCAGAGTTTGGACTTTTGCCAGACTTCAGAATGGCCAGGAAAGCCACCCTTGGCGGAGCCAGTGCCAGGATTGACCACTTTACACTTTCGGTTCTCAACTGTCAGTTTTGCAGGATCCATGGGTGACAAAGAAGAGCAAACAGCAGGACATCCGCTGTCCAAACGAAGGACTCCGCTCCTGGTCCAGATGGGTTGCCATATGCCCTATGGCGAGTTTTTCCACAGCAGACAGCAGGCTATGCTGTTGTGCACGCTATGACTTCTGCCATATGCTGTGTGCACCCTCCCACCTCCTACGCAAGTTGGCGTGTGGATTCCCAAACTTAAGCAGGGGCCCACGGCTGACTTCTTCAGACCGGAAGGAGCGACGCCGGCCTGCGACGAAATCTGCACTTCGAGGTTTACCACGTGTGTGCCTGCCACGAAATCTCCACCTCGAGGTTCACCAAGTGCTGCCCCTGCCACTAAATCTGCACTGACTTCGAGGTTCACCAAGTGCTGCACCTGCCACGAAATCTGCACATCGAGGACGGTCACATCTGAATGCTGTGCCTGCCACGAAATCTACACTTCGAGGTTCGCCAAACGCAAGCGCTGCGCCTGCCACGAAATCTGTGCCTCGAGGTGCGCCAAGCGCTGCACCTGCCACGAAATCTGCACATGGAGAGTCACAGAGTGCTGCACCTGCCACACGAAATCTGCACTTCGAGGTTCACCAAGTGCCGCGCCTGCACCAAGTGCTGCACTTGCCACGAAATCTGCACATCGAGGGTCGCAGAGTGCTGTGCCTGCCACGAAATCTGCACTTCGAGGTTCACCAACTGCTGTGCCTGCCACGAACTCTTCACTTCCAGGTTCACCACAAGTGCTGCACCGGCCACGAAATCTGCACATCGAGGATCGCAGAGTGCTGTGCCTGCCTCGAAATCTGCGCTTCGAGGTTCACCAAGTGCTGCACCTGCCACAAAATCTGCACTTCGAGGTTCACCAAGTGCTGCGCCTGCCACGAAATCTTTGCTTCGAGGTTCACCAAGTGCTGCGCCTGCCACGAAATCTGCACTTCGAGGTTCACCAACTGCTGTGCCTGCCACGAACTCTGTACTTCCAGGTTCACCAAGTGCTGCACCGGCCACGAAATCTGCACATCGAGGGTCGCAGAGTGCTGTGCCTGCCACGAAATCTGCACTGACTTCGAGGTTCACCAAGTGCTGCACTTGCCACAAAATCTGCACTTCGAGGTTAAGTGCTGCACCTGCCACGAAATCTTGACTTCGAGGTTCACCAAGCGCTGCGCCTGCCACGAAATCTGAGCTCCTGCCACGAAAACTGCATTTCGAAGTAAAGCAGTTCCGATCCCTTGCACCTGTCACGAAAAGTCGGCATGGAGGCACGTGAGTACCTCAACCCGGCCTCTGTCCTAAAGAAGGGTGCGGTAGCTGAAGTCTTTGGGGATGACGATTTCTGTGTGACACAGTCTTCCTCGGACCTTTCCGCTTCGTCCGTGTCAAACTTTCTAATGCGCGAGCCACAGAGCGAAGGAAAATTTTTTTCCGTCTCGTTGGGGTCGCTTGAGGTTAATCAACCGATTTCGCTTGACTGAGCGGCAGATCATGGTTATGCGAGTCGCTTCTGAAGGACCAAGGCCGATATTCGAGGTTTAGCGTGTAGAGAAGATATGGAGGCCCACGTCTTATCTACGCGAGATGAGCACGATTCTATCAGGGACGATAGGCCTGTTTGCCGATATTCCTGCATGGGCGCAGTACTGTTCTGCTATCGCTGCTCGTAGACATGGTCCGCGCGCATCTCGCATGGCATCATGGCCCGAAAGGAATTTCCCGGCTGTCCACGCGTTCATCATGAGGGTGAAGGAGAATCTGGGGGATGCTTCTTTCCGGGTCCTGTGCTCTTATGGTATGGGGCAGGGCCACGCTCATCATTCCGCGATCCGATACTTTGCAGGCTGGTGTGGCTGTTTGATTGGCATTATCAGCAGCTACGCTACCTTTGCTTGCTTCCGACCTGATGTTGACGGTGCATCTTTGAGATGCCTGCGGTGGGACAGTATTTTGTTTAAGCCCCCGAAGGAAAGACGTATGAACAAGCACATGCGCACCATCACACCGGTATGCACATCTTGTGCTTGTGGTTTGTGGGCTGCCGTTGCCTGCTTGGTTGGATTGTTGGATTATGTTGGATCCGTTTTTTGCAGAAAAGTATCCCTATAAAAGGCTTCCATAGAAAGGTGCAGCTGGAGATATTGGTGTGGAAAGTTAACTTGGTTAGCAGCACTAAGTTGTCACATTATATAGTTTATATATAGACCCATACTCCTTCAGAAGCTTGCTTTGCAGCACTTGAGGACATTTGGTAACCTGGGCCCGGGCCTGGTTCAGGCTTTGAGATCGACCCGCATGGTGACCTCCCAAATGAGTGACCTCCCTCCCATCGGTTCCCTCTTCGGCTCCATGCGTTTCACCAGGTGTACAGCGCAAGAGTGAGTTGATTCTTCCGTCAGAGGAGGAGGAGCGAGCACCATCCACTCCGTCGGTGCTACCGCTGTGACTAAAAGAGCTGCTAGATGCAGAAACAAGAAATGTAATTCAGAATACGACCCTACTAGTAGTATTGGGGGTGCAATGGTGCTGGAAGAAAAAACAATTAACGACACGAAACTGGAACAAGGCGACTGACATGGTCGACTGACAGATCGAAGATATTTGGACATGGAGTTTTGGATTTTCAATAGTATCTCCATCCATTTTTGGAGTCTCAGAGTACCTCAGAAAATGGGTACAAATACCATCAAGTACCTGTCTTTACAGGGTCATGTCCAATTTGATAAGGTACTTGAAGGAGGGTCCAGGTAGTACCTATGATCTGTCAACGGATTTCATTTGACCACTATACTATATGACCATATGATCCCCATGGCATCCAACTCCGATGTACCTTCGAAGAACCCAGAATCCCTCCGGGTCCCTCCGGGTCCTTTTCCGTCCTTCCGACGGGGTGTCGTCCATCCAGGAGTTCTCGGAAGCGAGTATGATGCGTCGCATCATGAAGACGGCCTTTTTGAACTGCATCCAACGGCGACACATCAAGCCACTCGGTGCGCGAAACCTGGCCGTGCGCCGCGCACGCCGTGCGCCCCCCGTTGGCCGGTTTTGCAGGGCGGCCGCGCCGAGACCCTCGGGTTGGCGTCGAAGTCGAAGGAGGTCGAAAAGGGATGAGTTGGGTCTTGCAGAACAATTCCCACATCGTGGGGTTTCCTCAACTTGGAACATCGTGATGTTCGGATGGAACTGCACGGGCAGAGAGTGGCACGGGCACGGTCCAACCACAGGAAGTTTGTCTATAGGTAAATCTTCCAATCCCAAACGCGTCTAGAAGATGGAGGTCCTTATGAGGTGACAAAAAGAGCCATCGCCCTGAGTTCTTGAGGATCAGACGTCGTCCCTGTCTGCAGACGCGTCGTTCGACATCTTCCGATTTTGACACCGCGTCGGCAGACGCGATGTCTGTCTCAGAAGGCGATGGAGTATCCGCTTTCACGCGGGAGGGACCGCGTTCAGTTTTGGGTCGGTCCCAGCGTTTTCGCGTTTGGGGCGGGCTGGCTCTCAACGCCCTCAGGCAGCACCAGAAAAGTATCGAGATCTTTGAACAGGCCACCTGGATGAAAAATGGGTTAGCATGACACCCGGGAAGAGACCCACATGGAACCTGGCAACCACTGGGTTGTAGAGGAAAATTGACTTCCAAAGGTCCATGTTCAGGGTGTATTTCACATCTGAATTCAGAGTTAATGTTTATACTTTGATTTAGACACCATTCAGACACCATACTCTCATCTAGAGTATCCATGGGTGATCATTCTTATCTTGAGTCTTAATGTACATTCATACTTTGATGTGCTTGCGAGGTGCCGACCATCAAACCACCTACAGATCGGCAGACCATCTCTTCGGAAACCTTTTTTGGAACAGTCTTTTTGTATAAGAGTGACTTTGATGCCCATAGTCAGGCATGAGACAAGGTGTTCTGCGAGTATCCCTTGCAATTGAGATGTCACTGCATATCCAGGTGCTTTTCTGTAGCACCCACGTTCAGTCAGATGATGGAGGTTTTGACAACTCACCCAATTCTTCAAAGCGAGAATTACACTGGCGAAGGCCAACAATAAACCAACAAGTTAGAACACTGTTTGTGCATGTTAGGTTTCCAGTTCGTCAAGTGTTGTAGTGCCTGCTTTGAAGTCGACTTGTTCATACCAAGAGCTTTTTGATTTGAACTGTCCAATAGAGCTGTTGAGACAAACACATCAATCGCAATGGATCCTCATTCCTCTTTCCGTAAGCTGAGGTCCTCAGCACCCTTCACTCAGATTCAAGACATTGCTCGTTCTATGGAACACCTGCGTGAACTTGATGTATACTCGTTCTGGGCCACAGAAGACAATAGCGACGGACAATCACTAAGCAATACAATGGAGTAATAAAAACCAAAAATGAGGACAACACACCTAGAGCAGCGTCGGAATATCAAGATTGTCCGTCACTATAGCAAATGCCTTTAGGGATGCACATCTCGGTTCCACGCATGTCGCTGGCATGGATTCAGTTCATGTATTTTCACGTCCCGAAGTGATTAGCCAGGACTGGCTCATGATGTGAAGATATGTGAAGGATTCTTGCATTCATTGATTATATAGGTAATTATGATGGTATATGTGTGGTTATTGTTGCCGCTATGCAAGGAATCAAATTCTGAAGGTACATATTACAAATAACCGTATTCTCATTGAGGAGCCAGTGGTTTGTCATATCCCTGGCTTAAGATAGGCGTATACCTCATGCCCAACAGGCCCTGGTATATATACCCTATATTACCAAAAACCACGAGGATCAACCTCCGGCCTTGACCGGTAGGCCTTTGCGACCATCAAGCAGTCCACGGGCATCTCCGACATCGCGGAGCCTTCTCCGTTGGCGTTTCGTCGGCCCCGCGGTGTGCGTGGCTGCCGCTGCCACACCGGACGCGACCGGTTCAGTGTGGGCAGAGATGGAGCGAACAAGAAACACCCCAATGTGCGTTCGAACGCATCTGGTTGAGGTTCAATCATGTTGTCCTACCAACCAACGGGTGAGGAATACAATCAGGTGACATCAGGTGATCTCTAATATATATGTTAGTTGTCATAAGAGTAGACAAGACTCAGTCAATCTCTCAAACCAATACCCGCTGTAGGAAAGTGATTTCCTTTTTGCACAAATATATTGTTGATCTTGTATTTTGTTTGCAAAAACACGGTAAATCACATGCTTTGTATTTAGCGTTTCTCCAAATCCGGAAAGCAAGGATGTGTCATAGTATCAGCAACAGTTAATGACAAAATATCACTTTGTTTGAGCAAGGCCTGTACGAACCATCATCAACCACAAATATGCCCAAGAGAAAACTACTCGTTGATGGGCGCAGGAGATTGTGAAGATCTTCGTTCACCTGGAGAGCCGAAACTTTTCGCTTTTGACGTGCGCCTGGCGCACGAAGACGTGGAGAGCGTGTCCGGAACGGCACGCTCCAGGTGTAGATCACACAGAATCACCAGCATTTATCATACTAACTAATTACAAGGGGGCCCCACAAACCATTAAAACCTGATTTTACCTAGCAGAAGACCTTGGTAGAAGGTACTCTAGGGCATCTACAACCTCTTAAAAGGGTGCTGGTAGATCGAGATTTGGCATGTTCAGCGTCAGAACTGGCCAACGACCTTCCCAAGTGAAGGCAAACCAGTTAGTCTACATTGAGTCTACAGGAAATACGCCCCGCATGGTGTTTCCATGGACATTACCCAGGAAAAATAGACAACCTTCAAAACCCTGTTTGGTGGATTGGGGATAAGTTGGAAACTGTCCCACACTTGTTTGTGGAAAAGATGAGGTGGTTTCATGGTTTCACAAGTTTGCGTGGCCTTCTTGACCGTTATCATCCACCGGACTTGGTTTGCCCACGTCCATGAACGAAAAGAGAAACATCACCCAAAACCAGACCTGCAATGGTTTGCAATTCGCCCTGCACACAAAGAGCTCAAAGATTGTCAAAGTATTGTCGAGGTAGATTCGGAATGATTTGGTGAAAGAGTTGAATTTTAAAGCTGGAATCCTAGTGATCACCAAGACCTTGACCCTGAGTTTTTTTGAACTTGAGTAAGTGAGTCAACACAGGGCCCATGCATTGCACCATGATTTGCATGTAAATTGGAATGCCAACCCTTCAGCATCTAAAGCAGAATTCAATCGGTGCTGTGATTCTCTTTTGACCCGATTCTGATCAAAAACTATAGTATGTAGCAATCACACTTCATGGACCCCTGCATGGGTAGCGGACCCGGATCCGCTACGTTCACTTACTTGATGGAGACGAGTGAAGCGACTGAAGAACTGGTTCTCGGCTCAAGACTCACGAGGTACGTGAACCACATGAATCGCGAGATCGAAGCTTTGGAAGGCCTCCAGTTGTTGGGGAACAACATCATTCACTCCACAGGATCTGTGTTTGTTCGGTGTTTGTCAGTAGATGTTTTTTTCGGGGACCAGAACTTCTGCTGGACGAAGAGTCAAAGTAACACCCAAAGTCTTAAACCTTTCGCAATCCCATGCAATCCCTACTACCCAGTGATTCAGTGCATCACCGGGGGAGGTGGGACCTCTTCTTTTTGGGGGATGGGTGACACCGTGTGGAGCAGTCCAACAGGTGGAATAAGGTGGAAGGTTTGCTGAACAAGACTCCAAACGATTTCCGGCGGAAGGGGGCTTCAGACAGGGTTCAAACCCGTGGGCCGTTCGTGAATACACTGACTGGTCCGGGCCATCACTTAGCTGGCCATGTGAGTGCGGGACATGGGAGCCTTGCCTGGGATGAAGATCCACAACCAAAGTGTGGAAATCCAGCAGCACGGGCTGCTGCTTCACATCATGAAGCTCAATATATGTGTTTCCTTTCGTGAATTTCACAATGCATCGATCTAGAGGTGTTACCCGAGTTGTGAGGGGTCACAAGCCGAAAGCGAAAAGCCGAAAGCTTTTTCCGAGCCTTTGGGTTTATGTGGACATCCTGAAAATGAAGACCCACCCAAGCCGAAGCCTGAAGTTGCAGTGGTTTTCAGAGTATACAACTGGCACAATCCCCAATGTCCATGATTTATGTGAACCCCCGAATCTAAAATGACATCTTGGGGCCCAAACAGGGTCTGTGGCCTGTTTTTGAAGGTCAAGAACGTCATGGTTTGGGATTTGCTGTCCAGGGAAGCCGGTAAACCACAATGCAAGACATATCGGGAATCAAAACATATCATCTGCTGATCTGCCAAATCAGGATGACATGGTACGATCATGACCGATGTTGATATGGGGTGAAAGATGTTGATAGGCCCAATCCAACTCCAACTGTCGAAAAGGACTCTTGGCTCAATCCCGTGGGTGAGAACCATGAATCCACACATTAGGTAAAAAGCAGAAACACATGAAGAAGCACCAAAAAAAAATACCAGCACCTTCATGTCGGGGTCACCTGGCTGGAAGCCCCAGCCCACCACTAAGAAACCTCTATTGGACACTCCTTGAAGGTCCAGCTACGTGAGTCTTGTCATCCGACTCTCGTCAGGTCAGAAGCGTTCGCGCCGTGAGGCCGAGCGGACGCTCAAGCGACGGGAGGAGTCGAGAGAGGGTGAGGGTGCGGGAGATGGTCAGACGGAGACGGCGCAAGACGGGGGGGGGAAGAGAAGTGAATGATGGTTTTACCGTCTACAGAAAACAAAAAAAAAAGGGACTCATCATGGTGCCAGAGGTCGAAATGCCATCTTTCCGTGTGATTCCCTATACATTGCAATAATACATGTATTATGAGCTTCACTGAATGTCGCAAGTTTTCCTGATCAGGACCATACAAATGTCCTGTCACGTGCAAGGTCCTTTGTCCTTGGCTAAACGGGGATATCACATTGAACTTCACCAGGCTGTATAATCCAGACTCTCGTCGCGAGGTGCTTGCGGGTTGCTTGGAGGGAGGAACACGTTCGGGATCACAAGTTCTGTACATTTGGTATCTTTTGCCTCACTCTGATCCACTTGGAAATGGACAACAGCCCCGAAAGGAAGACGACTTTCCTTTTACGAACAGGGGGGGCCATCCACGTATACACGTGGATGCGTTCGGCGGAGTGTATGTCTTCTTGGGAGGTTGAGTGAGTGCCCTTTCTATCCATCCTTCTGATTTTATGTGTCAAGCCCCACACTCCCCAAAGTCCTGAGATGTCCGACTCCAAAAGAGCAATCAATGGTGTCGGCATGAAGGAGTCAGGGTGGCTTGAAGCTGAGTTCTTGTGTTCGGTAGACAGAACGAGCACCCGTGCTCGTGTTTCGAAGGAACCAGATATCGATGCTTTTCACGAGGGAAGAACACTTCGTTCACATGGGTGTCCAGGAATGGAAGACGATTCCTTTAAGGATCCAAGTACCCTCTCCTGAGAAGGTGGGTGTTTAGGGTGGACTTTTGGGGTCTAACCACCTTCTGAAGAGATGGGCCAGGAGCCCTATAGGGATGCTTCGTATGCCAAACGTTCGGCCCTAAGCCACCCGGAGGCGAACCGAACTCGGCCCCGAAGCGTTCGGGTCGAACGCCTAGAGCGAGCGGGTCGATGAGCTGAGACTCCCTTTCCCTGGAGCGTCCAGATCGTATGCCAGAAAATAGGGACAATGACTCAAAAGAATTCAAAAAGCTCTATATATACTCATTTTTGTTGAGGTACATATATAGACCGGGTTCGACTCCAGGTCCTTTGCTTCAATAAGCGACCCGGCGTCGCTGCAGGAGACCAGTGAGAAGAATCGCGACCTCGCCTTGGGGGACATGCAAAAGAAGCTACGAGCCACTTGGGTCGAGACGTGAATGACGGTCCGTGCCCGTGACGCTCTTCCGCGCGCCCGTGACGCTCTTGGTTTTCCTTTGGTTTTGGAGTCTCCCGAAGGCGAACGTGCCGAAAGGGTTCTGAGTTTGATCTCTGGGGGTCCGGGGAAGGCGCCGATAGACTTTGCTGTTTAATGTGTGTTTGGGGGCTGAAAGCGAGGAGTTTAGGGGGAAGGACATCAGCATGGCATGTGTTCTTTTGGAAGAGGGGTGGAGAGGTTTAAGAGCAGTTGCAGTTGGTCGACTTCTTAGAAGTGGACGGGCAACAGGAGAGGATGCAAGGATTTAAGTTTTTTTGGGGGGCAAATAGAAGATGGTTCTTAATTAGGGTCTTGCACTTATACTCACTTGTTGGATAAGAAAAGACGATTTGCTGCATGACTGTCTTGAAAAACGTGACCAGGATGAGTTGGACATGAACCCGGTTTTGGCAGCCCGAGTCGGACTGTTTTCCTCTAGCTCCACCAGTGGATTAAAATAGGTCCAAGATGGTCCAAGTCAAACCCAGCTGTGCCATACGTAAGTTGCGTTCGTAGTTTCTTGTTACGTTCGTAGCGCTAGTATGCCCTAGTGCTAGCATCCGATCGCGAACGGTTCGACGCCGCGATGCCCTGGGTGTTCGAGTCGCGTTCGTCGCGTCGTTCCGTCTTCGTCCCGTCGACTCGACGGTGCCACCGCTCAGGCGACGCAGCTCTCCATCGAGGAGGATCGTGAGGTGAACGTCGAACGTCGGACCGGTCGGTGGGGCGGTGTGGCTGTGTGGGCGGGACGAGTCGGTTCCTTCTGTGTGGGGTTCACCGAAATGGACCCATCCAAAGAATTAGGGTCTTTTCCCATCGTTTTCCTATCAAAACACAGCTCAGGCTGTTCATCTAGTTTTTCTATGTGTTTTAGTGTTTTTCCTGGTTTTGTTTGGGACAATGTTTCTATTCCTTATGGATGGTTGGAAACCCAAACAACCAGCCAAGAAAGGGTTGCCCCACAATGCCAACGTTGTTTCAGGGTAGCAACGTTTTCTTGTTCAGAATGTGTTGGTCTCCAAAAGACATATCTCTTTGATGGACTTGTTGGTCGCGTCACCGCTTGGAAATCCCCTCTTTGGGCTACTGCTTTTCTTTGGGTTAGGCCCTTGCATTTCCTGGTATACTACTAACATATACTAACTATCGTTTCGAGTGATTTCTGAAATTTTCTGATGCAGGAATGGCCTTACACATATAATATAATAGATAGTATATACCGTATACCTTATTTGCAGCCTTCGGCATGCCGCCGGCCACCAGCTCGAGCCCGCATTGGCAGACAGCTATCCACAAAACATTCACAACCTGACTGTTCTCATTCGCACTCATAACGCCCATACTCACTCTTACTCACTCTCATTCAGAAGTATTCATTTCACTCACGCCCGTCGCAGACACCGTTCAATGGCTGGCGTTCGGTGCGAGCAAAGCCGTGTTTGCTTTTGTCAAGAGGCCATGGGTGCTCAAGTTCATACCCCGCGACCGTTGGACCCCAGAGAACCAGCAGGGTAGACGCGAGGCCTTGCTCTTCAGAGACCGACCTGATATTCGAGACCTGGTCCCGCATTACTTCGGCTCTTTGTTGGTGACGCAAATTGGCAGGACTTCGGACTATCGCGGCCATGACATGGTGGACGTGCGCGCGGCCAGTGCGTCCGTGCTTGTCTGTGAACGAGCTTGGAAGACTGGAGAGACCAGTGTCATGGAAGCCTTACATGTGCCCTTCTCGGAGCAGATTTGGAGGTTTCACGTGGGTAGCTGGCGTCTGTTGATCCATCACATGACCCGATGGGTGCGTGCGGGGTTTATGCCGTGGGATTTGCAACTTCAGAATCTCGGGCGAGGCACTGAAGCCCGGTGGCTGACTCTGCATTTTGATGTCTTTGATGAGTTGGATCCTACGCAAAAGTCCAAAGCAATTGCTGCCAGTTGCTGGAAGGCCTTGAAGCGGGTTCTCACCTCTTATGGAAGTTTGGCTGACCGCCGGCAGGGTGAAGCTTGGGGTCGGCGTGTGGCATTTTTGAGGCATCCGGACCATGTCTGGAGAACCTGTTTTGGACCCGATAGCGATGTCTATCGGACCTTCCTATTCAGCAAGTGTGTCTCGGACATGATACCAAAGACATGATTCCATCCAAATTAGGTTGTGCTGACTTCGCGGTGTTTCTGTGGTCTCCGTTCTTTTAACATAGCCGTTCTTAACCAGGTTCGGTGCAGAGGATGTTGACCAGCGACTCACTGCTTTGTTCCAGCGCATTGAGAACGCAACCAGGAGCATGAGTCTGAAACGTGTCGCCTGTCGTGTGGTCCATTGTGCTGTAGCGTTTTCACCACATGAGAATTGAGTGTGCGCTGATGAGGACTGCTGAAGCTACCTCCGCTTCCGGCACCGGCCACACCGGCCAACAGCCTTTCCAACAGCCAGTCCAACAGCCAGACACCGCGAGGTCACAACGAAACGGTGTGTCTCTTGGTTATGGAAGATATTCACACACAGAAGGCTTCCAAGCGACCGAAGAATTTGTAGATCCGGCATGATTTGTCGTTTTTTCTCCAAACCGTTTGAAGTGAGAGACCCAGAATGACATCGAACAACAATACCCTGCTCAATCAGACTTGTGGGTGCATTGGAGTTGCACATTTTGCTGGGAGAGTTTGTTGATGTTGATTTCAAGCGAAGTCGTTTTACAATGAAATGGAACGAATCCGAATCAGAGGTTGTCTATTCTGATCCAGCGATCCACATGTCTCGGTCCTCAGTCCAATGGTTGTCTTTTCTGATCCAGCGATCGGCATGTCTATGTCTCAGTCCAATCACCTTCGACGCGACGTAGAGAGGGGGGGGGGTGGGGGGGGGCCGTCAGGCTGTCGAAAAATCCGCGCGGAGATACAAGCCGTAGATTGAAACCAACACAAGCAATACTAACCAAAACAATCCACAAAACACGCCGGCAGGCCGGCGGATTTGACCAGGTCTTAGACTTAGCAGCGCTTTAATCTGACTTCACAGGGTCTTCGTGTTCTGACATGTTTGGACACATCGTTTGTAGGAATGGAGATGGAGTTCAATCTTCAGTATTTGGAACACTTTGGGATTTTGGTTGAAGCTACTGGGAATGGTTTCGTTGCGCGATACCATGTCACACCCTCAGTTTGGAATTCCGGTGGCTGAGTTCACAGTTCAACAAGGATATGGCGTCACGCGGTTGCACCACTAGAAGCGACAAACATAGGGTGGCACTAAGCTCTCATGTGAGCTGGTTCAGCAAGGCCTTCTGTTCATCATTGGATCACAGGACCAACGTGGTCTGATCCCCAATGATTGTGAAGGGTCATGCGAGCCCTTCGTGGTTCTGGGCGAACGTGCTTCGTACGTCAAGGGTCTTCTTCGCACGTTCTGCTCGCTCGACCGGCGCCGAGCAGGCTTGGGACGACCACCGGGAAGTGCTCCAGAAGACCCTGCCCTTGGTCGCACAGGCCGGGGGCCAATCGGCCGAGCCTCGGAGCTGCGACGAAGCAGGCGGGTGCGAAGAAGCAGGGAGGGCCTAGGGAATGAACTACCCATGTTTTACACACTCCGTATACCAGTCGCACCTGTCAGTACATGTTAATCATGTTAGTTCGGTCCAAAGCCTACTCTGAGCCTTTAGGTAATTACTCCCAGAACTGCTCCATATAATTGTTGGACGTCTAAGAGGTCTAACTTGCCGCATTTGGGCTAATCCTTGAAGCCGGGTCTCCTGGAAAAGAGCTTTCAAAGGGTACGCTACGGCCTCCAGTCGTACCTCCTCAGAAGGTATGACTGGACCCTCTTGGCACCCACCCCAAACATCTTCTCACAAGGTGCTTGGAGCCCTAGTGGTATAGCTGTCCTGGATGTCACCCTTTCTTCTTGGACTCGACTCTACTGGGTTTTTGCGGGTGCCTTGGGGGTCATTCCCGCATGTGAGCAAGCATCTACCAGTTCCGGAACACAGACTGGAGCTGTTTCCCCATGGCTGAAAACAAAAATACACTTCGGGGGTGTCTATCAAAAACCCTGGTATACCAGGGAATGCCAGTTACACGTCACCTGAGCAGCTCAAGATTTGCTTCAGGATGCTCCTGCCGTGCTTCGGACAAGTCATGGAACTGAAAGATCTGCGGAAAACATGGATGAGTGGTGTTCAGATGCTCCTGGGGACAATATATTAAATAGATAATACCCGAGACACGGAATCGATGAACTTTACTACTGCTTCCTCCCTTGGGGGCCTTGGCTGATGTCAGGTCTCTCGGCAACTGGACCTCGAGTCCCAACGCTTGCGCAGCTTGGACCGCCATGACCCGACCGGATGAAACGATGGGCCATGACGGTGGGAGCTCACTTTCCATGTGGATGGGGAGGTGTTGCCTTCAACGACCTCCTTATAGGAATTCCTGATCTCAGGGGCCGGCGTTCCACTTCCATGATTGTTTCAGGGAGTGTAGATTCGAAAAAATAGGTGAATTAGGTCGTTGTGCTCACTATAGCTGCTACACTAACCTGGACCCTTCGTTTCGTGTCTCCTGTGTGTCCGCGAATTTTCGGGTCTCGGTTTCAGCTGTGGCCGCCCTGTGCTGCCGGGTCCGCGCCCAGGCCAAGCGTCCAGGGACGACGGCGGCGAGTTCCCCTCCAGGCGCCGGTTCAGTCGGCGCTCGCTACGGGCGAGTGCGGTGGACCGAGGAGTGAGTCACCCCCAAGCAGCCTGAGATACGTGGACCCCCCTGATGGCCAAAGGGAGGATAGATAGCGAAGCAGGGAGGCACCGGGGTGTCCGGATGGCACTGGTGGGTCCCGATCTGTAACCCAAGCCATGCATGGGACTGAAGTATATGCCGCCAGAAAGACCCGTCGAATTACCCAATGATTCAATGCATATGCATACATACAGGTATATATCAGGCCAGTCGCATGGATGGTTTGGGTATGATTTTTGAGATCCGGTTACCACTTTGGAACCAGTAGTGGTTCCTAAGACCAAAACCACAGACAGACCGAAGTCCTGGTTCCCTAGGGCTCCAGTCGTGTGTCCTCAGAAAGTATGACTGGACACCCACTCCAAACACCTGGGATCCTTTACCACCATGGGGATCCGATCACACACACACACGAATCTTGCAGTCGGTCGAATCCGAATCCCAGCTTCAACACCTCTAAAGCGCTTGATACTTGTTTTGCTGGATGTGCGGAAAACTGGCGAGAATGGCGATCGTTTTGAGGTGAACGGGGGTGTCATGAGATCCCCAAAGGCCCCAAAGAGTCTGAGATTTGTTTCATTGTTTCAAGGGAGGGATTCACTCTTCTATTTTGTGGTGCATACTATATATCCGACAGTCGGAACATCCTACCCCAGGGCCCTTCCCCTAAGCACTCCGGTGTGCCATTCACAATGGGCCTGTCCATTCAACACCCCGACCGTGAGTCCAGGGTATGGCTTAATTCAATTGTTCACATGTTTAACGCTGATGGAAATTTGCCCCATGTAGCCTAAGCAACCAATTTGAGTGGCCAAGTCGTCTATATATAGGATTCTGTTCATTTCATGTCCAGTTGTTTGGGCTACCAAAGCAGGGTGAACGGATGGCCGTTTGCTCAGGCCCAGTGATGAGCTTCGGGTGGATACGATGCTCATCTATTTGCAGTGGGCCAGAGACCTTAGATGGTTGTGAGTCAGTTGAGATGTTACCCATAGATAGTTGAGTATATCACCTATTATCATCACATCATTTTTTGTTTTTGATGGATGGTATCAACTATCCCATAGTCAGTACTCAGTACTCGCTGCACCAACGATCATCAGAGATAACATTGAGAGTACAACCTAGCAACCTTTGAGAGTCTTTGACTTTCAGTCTTACAGTGGTTTCAGAGTAGATGGCACAATCCCCAATGTCGGTGGTTTTATAAGGACCCCTATATAGAAAACATCTTTTGGGTTCGTACCATCAAGTCTGAAACCTGCCCGAAACACTGAGATCAGCAAAGCTGGCCTTCGCCCTGTTGTTTTCGCTCGGGATTCCGTCAACATCGGGGGATTTCTGGATCTGGTGGAGCAAGCATAGGCCCCTTTGAGGGCCTGCAAGCTCAACTCGTCACAATGATTTGCGCTGGGCATTGCGACTTGAACTTCACGCTGGCAGTGTCACAGAAATACTCTAGAAATGCTCTTGGACGACAGGAATTTGTTGGTGCCAATGGCTGCAAGGGCAGGTCGACAAAATGAAAGATGGAGCGATAGGCACGGCGATAGGTGCAAAAGTCTTTGAAGCATCTCCAAAGCTTGTCCCTCATTTGCCAGGCAGGTTAAGCCAGGAAGGCAACCATTTCAGGCCTCTACGCTTCTGAACAGCCTGGAGACTTCGAAACCGGCTCAATTGGTCGATGCAAGCTCGATGAGCGCGGCGTTTTCAGAGGTCCGAGCAGTCCGGAGACGCAAGGTCCGAGGCGGCCACGGACGAGGCCGCTCCGGAGGGGAGGCCCGCCCATAGAGTCATAGAGACCAAGCGTTTCGAGTGTCCGAGTGTTCGGCGCCAGAGTGGCTAGCCAGAACCTGGACGTTTTGAGAGGAGGCTGGTTTGGCCATGAATGCACCATGAGTTGGTCCTCCAAAATCGATTTGACCTTCAAGAAGAGCGGCATCGGAGGGCCTTGCAGGGCTGTACTTCGGCTGAGGTTCAATTGGAGTTTCGCTTGATGAGGAAAAGAAGACAAAGCAGATCTTGCATGTTTGTTGGATGATTTGGAGCATCTGGGTGTGTATGGAACAGTAGGTCAAATAGATCAAAACGAATTGGTGGCGGGAGTCCCTGTGAAAAGACCGAGGATGAGTTGGATGGTCCAAGCCCATTGGGGATGGTCGACGAAGCCTCGGGGTTCTCTTGGATCTCCAAAATACACATCCACGTGTTGAAACCGGTGGCCCGTCTCCGTCCGGATGGACGGTCGGGGTCGGGTCGAAGCCCAGGGCCTCAGAGGGATGCTTCTGGCTGCTGAAGTCATGGTCATATGGATTCCTAAGTCATAGTCATACTCATGGTCCGGATGGATGCTTAAGCTTTTTGTAGTCATAGATTTAGCATGGGTCTAGACATGGAATGAAAATGAAGACGTGTGAATTCTCCCTCTCCTAATTGTATGACTTGGAAGTGGGAAGGAGTAGTTTTGCCTGTTTGGAAACCCTTGACTAAGCTTTGGAAATCGTTTTGTTGCCCCAAACTCATCCGTGTTGTGGGTTTCCGAACGGACACCGATTCCGATGCCTTCACGGTCTAAGTCAAGCAAGTTATACAGTCATACTGTACAGTACCAGTATATACTCCTTTGGGCCAAAACTAGTTCCCTGTTTGCTGGAACCAGCCCTTTTTTTAAAGAGTGCTTGGCACAAAATGGCAGTGGGTAGGTTGGCACCTGGAGCTCCAAAGCCCCGTAGGTTGACCTATTATTGTTGTTCATTTCGGTGGGAAAATTGGGGAACGCCTGTCCTTTGACCATGCCAGTGCAACTGGTTCGGAACATAGACCAGTCTGCCGGGGCGAGGGCCAGGGTGTCTCCCTATCACACAGCCACAGTGGTTTCAGAGCTTTGATGGCAATAGATGGGGGTCCACATATATACATACCACCAACATGGGGAGTGTGCCATTTACTCTCAAGACCACAAACCGAGCAGGTCAAGACCAGCTTGCTGGTCGATCGTTCCCAGCGCGATCGGTTAGATGTTTTTCGTCGATCTGAGGTGGAAGAGGTGCTGAGCCGTCACTGCACCCAGCGGTTGGCAGCGAGTCGTACAGCGGGTCCAGAGCCTCTCCCAGGGGGTACACTCCGACGAACACATCACATGGAAGTGGAAAAAAACACGGTTCGTAAAGTAAAGTCGTCTTCCAAGGGACCATTTTCCACTTCCATGTGATGTGTTCGTCAGAGTGTATGTTTCCACTTAAGCCAGTGACGGAGGGTAAAGGATCATCACGATGTTTCAGATAGTGTGTAACATCCTGCAACCAGGCCCCATCATCCACTGAAGCCTAGCGGGAGATCACTGCCTGGTATCATCATCGTTACGTGGATGGCATGGCCCCGTTGGGATGACGATGAAATCCTCTACTTTGCTGGCAGCGAGTCGGCCCCTTCCATGACGATTCCAGTGTACCCAAGTCGAGCAACGTTTCGAGCAACGACCGGTGGTTTCGAGCCACGTCCGGTGCGGGACTTGTGAACTGAGTAGCAGCTATTTGAGGAAGATCTGCAGTCTTACCGAGGACACGAAAAGCAAACCAACAGTCTTGTGCTGCAGTGAGGGTCGAGGTCTATCAGCAAGGGTTCAAGTTACCCGACGTGTCGTCTATGTCTTTTGCGAGTTGGAACGATGTTGAGGCCGATGTCACGAAAGGTAGCTTGAGCTACCTGACGTTCTCCTTGCTTTAGCTGTATTGCAATCAGGATTTGGTGATTTGCATGTGTTTTTTGTCCTGTAAGAAGGGATTCTGTTCGACGGGTCACGGTCACATCCACCTTTGACGCCGTCATACTTCTACCAGGGATACTTGTGATTGGCTACCGAAATCGTTCACCCCCTCCTCTCTACTTCGTTGCCATTCCCTTGTGATTGACGGAATGTGCGGCAGAGAACTGTTTTTTTGAGTGGACAGAAACTTCCAAACTGTGTGGGGCGGAAGATCCTGGGTATGTGCGATCCCGGCCGGATGTGAGCTTTGTCCTGTGCATCGAAGAAAGGGGGGCGCTAACCAGGGAACCCTGGGCCAGACCACGGAAGATGAGCAGAATGGACTACTAAGGAGGTCAACCTGGCAGGGTTTGACCCACAGCCATTTGGTGCCACCTCTTGGTCTTGCACGCAATAACAGCTCTTTCTTTATATGTGTTTGCAGCCGACGTTTTCGGTGGTGGGGCAAAAACCTGTTGGAACCTGTGTGCTTGGCTCACCTATCGTTCACCTATCCGGGCTTGACGACGCTGAAGACGCTGAGGCTTTAAGGACTTGCTACCTGTTCCAGATTCTGCTGCCTGGGAGGCGGGAGGCCAAGAGTTTGACCGCTGGCTGACTCCGAAGATGCCCAGATCCAGGCAACCCACCAGTTAGGTAGGGAAGCAGTGGTTCCAAGGACGACGAGGGCCCCTGGTTTCTTCTTTGGTTTGCAAGCAGGATTTTGATGGGATGACTACAACAGGCACCCTTCATCCTGGAGTCGACCTTTTCGTACCTGGGCACAATTAGCTGTATACTTTAATAGGGTCATATCCCATTTTCAAGGGTATTTTTGAGGGTACAAGATGATTTTCATTTTGGGTACAGCCCTCGCTGTCTGGAAAAAGGTGGATCAGACACATGCGATTGACTCGAAATAGGCTTTTGGGTTGAACATGGTGGTTCCGGGTCAAACCGCAATCTCACCCAGTCCCAGCTTTCTCCAAAATCGGGATCATCCCATTCACACATAGTTATTTCATGCACCTGGAGTCTGAAAGTACCGCGGAAAATGGGGAAAAGTCAATAGGGATCGATAGGGTCATATTCCATGTTCTAGGGTATTTGATGTCCAGTCCGGTACAAACCTCTCTCGAATTCGCCCTCCCCTTTGGGGTTGTATTCCAGCTCCGCAAAAATACCAAAAATAGAACTTCCTGCCGTTCCCCGCGGCCAGTCAGACACCGGCGGCCTCTCTCAATGGTGGGTCCTTGGTCGTCCCAACGTCCACATCCACGTCCGAGGAGTACTTCCCGGCGACGGCGGCGTCCTTGGTGAAACACCTCACCTCCAAGAGGCTCCGCCGCACGAACCGATCTGCGCGCCACGCGTCGTGGGCGGGACGACGGCCCTCTCTCCGCTTCGTGCGGCGGGCGGGCACCTAGCCCAGCAACTTGGTCAGTGTGATCGATTTGATGCCTTTTTTTTGATCTTTTCGAGGAATGTGCACTCCATGTTCGAAACGAATTCCTGGAGTGAGCACGTGCACCTTGCTTTGGGTCATGAATTGGCAGGCATTTATATGGTCGCCAGGTCAAAACGGAGTCCCCCAAACTGGTAGGTGGCCTTCCAGGTAGTCTATTCTATTTCATTCTTGGTGGTCGACCAGGGTCCTCTGGTTTGACCCACAGCCATATGCCCAAACGGATCGAGTTGCTTCGTGTGGGTTTTTTTGTGTCACGGCTCGCAGTGCGGGTGTTCTATCACTCGAAACACACGATCGAGCGGGAGCGGCCATCTTCCCCAGGCAGACGACGCCTCACTTGGTGAAGATGCAGGAGCACATCCAATGCTTGCTGCAGCAACGGAACATGCGAAGTTCGAATAGGTGTGATTGGGTGTGTGTTTGAATGTATTTGAGATCTGGGAGACCCAGAGGCCCTGGCTGGGTAGACTGGTCGATTTTCCTTCTTCCAAGGGGTCGTTGGTTGGGAGGTCTCAGCCCAAGAGCTGGGATAGGTTGGGATATTTGAGCCCACGATCCACGAACGTAGTGGTTTTCAGGTTCCATGTGGGTCTCTTCAAAAGCATATGTACGTGGTCTTGGGTCTGCCAGGGGGTCGTTGCCTGCAATGTCTCACTGGGATAGGTTGGGATACTTGAGCCCAAGATCCAACCATCGCGTAGGGTCCTTTTTGAGTGCACTGTAGAGGCAGAAGGTCTAGAGATCTGGACGCAGTGGGCTCCAGAGAGAGGTGATGATGGTGGTGATCGTGGTGATGGTCGTCGTGGTGATGGTGGTGATGATGGTGGTGATGATGGCGGTGGTGGTGATGGTGGTGGGATAGTGGTGGTGGTTGTGCTGGTGATGTTGTTGATGATGATGATGCTGGTGATGTTGTTGATGCTGGGGATGATGCTCGTGGTGATGGTTGTGATAATGGTGATGGTGGTGGTCGGTGATGGTGATGGTGGTGATGTTGTTGATGGTGTGCGGAAATCTGAGTGTAGATGATATCGATGGGTCATGATAGGTCTATATATCCCAAGTGTGGTATGAATTCTAGTCTAGTGGATCCATTTTAAGCTAAGGCCAGGGCACCTGCCGATTGGATATAAAATGATCAAACAACAACAGGTGATGCATGAGAACCCCTTTTATCCTAATTCCGCTGTAAAGGTACCACGTGAACTGCTTCCAGTGGTTTTGGGCATTCTCGGAAGCGGGTCCCGTTCATGGAACGAGTGATGTTGCGTCCAACATGTTTTGGAATGCTTTGGGGCTTTGGAAACCGTGAAGCAAACATAACGGGGTGTGAGTGTTGAATCCAGTTGGATTTTCTTCTTCCACGTTGGAAGACTGATTGCTGAGAAAGGTCACTCTTGGGGTTGGCCACCTAACCATTAATATCCATTAATTAATAATCATTAATCTAGATTCATAGGATCATTCCGTCCCAAAGACTGGGATCACAAATGGGATGGCTCACTCTCTCATTTGGAACCGGCAGCCACCCAGCCACCCTCAACAGCCCAAAGCACCACACTGTCCACCATGTCCGGGGCAGTGACGCTGAAGAAAACGGAAGCGACGAGGACCTGCCTGCGGCGCCTCTCTTCGAGGAGCACGGCAACGCGCAGAAGAGGCACCGAAACACCGCGTGGTTGGCACGCGCAGTGCTTCGCGCCGCAGAACAACCACTCGTTCCGTTGTTCCAAATTGGATGAGCGTTTCACACTTATAAATCATAAATCAACTACACTCATCTATACACTCATAAATTTGACTTGAAGTGTGCTATCATTCCATAATCCATTGATGTTGAACATGAACTGGAAAGGGATTTCCCTTCTCAACCGTCAACCCGGACTCGCCCCGGACTCCGCCCTCAGGCAGGCCAACCAGAAGGCCCGTTCGGCCGGTTCGTCCGGTCTTCGACCCGGGAGACTCCAGGGTTCTCAGTGGTGAGATGGTGTGGGGATGGTGGAAGTGGAAAAGACGGGTTGGGTGGCTTAGGGGAACTCCAGAAATGCTTTGGGGATGGTTTGTGGAGTATATGATATGCCGATATGCTCAAAAGACTCCCAAAAGAGCAATATGCTCAAAAAAAGACGGGTGAGGTGGCTTCGGTGGTCGTTCAACAATCGGAGCTGCACCGGAGTGGTGATGAAAAACCATGTTCGCACAACCAGTCCACGTAGCAGATGACCCACATAGGTCTTTAGGGCTCCGAGTTTTGACTAGCTGACTAGCTTCATGTTGTGTTACCTTTTTGGCAAATATAGACATCCAAGCCGGTTGAGTATGAAGGTCCATTTGTGTTCGATCGGGGCTTTCATGTGTTTTTTGTTCATTCATCTCGTTCCCTTCCCTACCTCCCCAGTCAGCAGACAACATGTAACAATTAAAAAGTTGTTTGGGGGACATATTGTTCAATTCCAAGAGGTGGACAGTTCGTTTCACCTTTCTTTTCGGAAGCAACAGACCACCTGGTCAGCCGGATCCGCGAGGCGATCGTAGACAGTCGCCGTGACGGCGATCGCCGTGGTGATTTCTGTCTTTTGGGGGGGCACAAAGAAGAAGTAAGTAGAACGTCTACTTCTAATTATATAGATGACGTTCTAATCGGACGTTCTAAGAAGTAGAACGTTCTTAATTAGTAATCTGGTTCTATGATGTTCTAATGAAGCCAGCAAGCAGCATGGCAGGTCATTACAACGATTGGTGAGAAGTGCTGGCAGAACATTCACAGCTCTTCAAACAGATTGAACCAACTGCCTGGTACATCCTGGTACCTGTTTGGCGTCTCAGCAAGTAAAACGCGTGAAGAACAGGCACTACGCCACTTGAGCAGGACGCATCTTGGCCTTGCGCCCACCAGATCAAGTGCAGAAGGTGTGGACAATGCATGTGCGAACATTGACATCGCCAGCACAGCTGAATACCTATCCCCAGAGCTCCAAGCGCCTTCTGAGGAGGTGTTTGGAGGGTCCAAATGGTTTTCTGAGGAGGTACTTGGAGTGACAGACGATCAACCAAATGTAGTGCCAAACAAAAGGGAACAAGCGGACATGGCTGGGGAAAAGAACCAACAGGTGGCACTCACCTCACCTCACTCACCTCACCTCACTCACGTATACTTCACCTCGCAAAACCACCACCCACTGTCCTCCAGGTGGAGATGGAGGAGGACAGCGAAGACGAAGGCTTTGAAGATCGCCCTTTGATGCTCAAGGCCCGCGAACCGACTGCGGTCGAACTGGTCGTCGAACTGGTCGTCGGGCATCGAATGAGCCTTGATATGACCACGGTGCAGAAGCATCGCCACACATCGTGGCCAAGGTGTCAAGACCCACTCGAAAAGGCCATGAGACCCACTCCATCTTGCCGGGAGATTCAGCCCTGGCTGACTAGACTATCCTGTTTTCCTATGTTTTCCTTCTAAAACGGGGTCGAGGTGGGAGGTCTCCCTATTTATATAAAGACAGACCCATCGATATACAGTGTTTTCAGAGCTTCGAGGTGGGAGGTCACCCCCTAGACATGTCTTGACAGATGGGTGTCCACATCAACCACCGACATTGGGGATCGTGCCAAGTTACTCTGAAACCACTAGACGGCGGGGTTGGTAGATGGAATGGTTGGTGAAGGAGATATACAAGTATGTCATCCATGGCCGGAGTCCCCTGCAAAAGACAGGAATGTGCAAAAAATGCTTTGACTGTTCTATCCAAGAAAGGTTGGATTCAGTTCCGTGATGTTGCTGAGTATGTTCCAGACAAACTGATTGAAGGTCGTGGAGGAGGATGTGCATTTCTTCCAAGACCAAGCTGCATGTGTCAGCAATACAGGAAGTATGGTGAGGGTAGCGGGCAAATGGACTCCTTTGGTGATGAACAACCTGAATCAAAGAACACACCATTCAAGGTGTTTGATTCTTGACCATGGAAGGAGTTTGATGGAGTCTGGACTATTTTGGGTAAACGGACACCAATAAATTCATCCAAACAAGAGCCACAGGGGAATGCCGTTTTCGTGACATCGATTTGTTCGTCTCCCTCTCCGATCAACTTGCCCGTGTGCCCTCAGCCCCCAACCACACGTCTCGAACGATTTCAAAGCCCTAAGAAATAAACAATAATAAACACCAGGGCTAATGAAACACCCCCCCCCATCCCCCCCAAAAAAGCAAATTGTGGCCCCAATTCCAACCACGTGGTCATGAACACCAGGAAGTACACCAGGACTATTATACCCGAATGCAAACTCTTGAGCAACTTCTTGTTTTCTTTCCTTTCGGTCAAATTGTTGCCTCCCGCCAACCAAACAACTTGAACCTCAACCATACGATCGGAGAGCCATCGGAGCCATGCCTATTGATGAGCTGCGGCTTCTCAACAGCCCTGGGGGATAGAGCAATCACAGAAACAAACAATGGAACCAAAAAGCCAAGAACAAAAAACAAAACACAACTCCAACCAACCAACAAACCAACCCACCCACCCACCCACCAACCAACCAACCAGCGTCTGCAGGAACCCACAACACGGCGGGAAGTGAAAGCACTCATCTGGGAACTGAAAACACACACCCTGCAAAACCCCAAAAAAACAGATGCTCGGTAAACACACAAAGGAAGGGAAAGTCAGAATCTAAGAACTGGAAAACACCCAATCCATCCCAATTCCCACAAAAAGATGTGATGGCACAATTTACCAAAAAGCACATCTCTGATCATCTTTGCATGTCATGTTGCTCTTTTGCTATGTTAAAGCGCCAAAAGCATATCTAATTGTAACATCATTGTATCCAAAGAGCCTGGCAGGGTAGTGGCAAATCTGTTTCAGTGATTGGAACGCCTACACACACATTTGCCGCAAACACCCACCGATATGGAAAACACATCATCTGGAAACCACACATTCTGGGAAGAAAGAATGCCCTCAGGAGCCGAACACATGTTTTTTGCGAGTTTGTGAATGACACTGAAACTCAATGGTTTTCAATGGTTTTCCTATAGTTTTTCCTATCTTTTCCCTTATCCATCCTCAGTCCGATGTCTTTTCCCTGGATCTCCGCAGCCAGTTCTGGAAAATGAAGCGAAGCCACGACCCCACGCCAGTTGTTCAGCTGAAGCTTCTTAGACAACAAAAAGCTCCCCCTATGAAGCGCTCTCCATGTCCTCTCCAACCTTCTGGTGTCTCGCTCAAATGGGTTCAGCCAGCAGCCCGCTGAAGAAGCCGTTGTGCCAGGAAATCCGTGGCAGAGCCAAAATGGCTCACGAACGGAAGAACAGGAGAGGTGGGTGTTTGTCGTGGCTCGAAAGTGATATTCTATGCCTACCCAGTCAGTATAATAACATATATAATGTACCTTTAAAGATCTTTCAAGAACCGGTGGAATATGGTTATATAACCTTAATTGTCCAGCGAACTGTGGGAGTCAGTATGATTTCCGGTTCCCAATTGAACCATCCGAAGGTGCGGAGGTTGGGCGTTTTTCAGGTTCAACGGCTTCTCCGAAGGTTTTGGACAATTTGAATCGATTTCGCGCGTCTGGCACGTCTGACAGCATCAGATCTCTTTGGTTTCGGTGCTGTTGGTGTTCGCCGCAGCGACCCATTCTGAGCTGCTCGTACCGACCCGATGAGTGGCGGTTGGTGGCATTATGATCATATATAGATCATAGATGAGTATACTTCCGGGAGTGTATCAAAATAGCGAGAGCGACCGGGCGGGCGTTCCGATCCCCTAGTATTGTCGCGAAACGGGACATAGACCAGTCTACTCATTGGGCCAGGAGAAGCAGCAACACATATGTTGGGCCCCGGAGTAGGTGCTGCAGGGTGAGAAGAAGCTGAGAAGCTTTGCGAGCTCAGTATGTTTTGAGCACCAACTCCCGTGCATGGGATGCCCGGAATCAGAAACTTCTACATGAAATCTGATGCTCGTCGGAATTATCCACCCAACGCTGGAAGGAAGACACATGGAACCCTTTTTGTAAAGGATTGATTGCACCTCATAAATGCAACGTTGCATGTTGGCCATGGATTAAAAAGACGTTCCCCGCAACACAAATTGCGGCGCGTGGTGGCCAACATAGCGAAAAACCAGCCAGTTGATAACAGGTTCACAATAAACCATGGCCCAATTCCAACACCATTGTAGAAGAACAGCGCCAGCCTGTTAGCCACTAGAGCCATGTAGTAAATCCTGGACAGGCTGGACCAATAGATCCACTCCAAGACTCTGCAACACCCATGCCAGTACCAGCTCCTGCACTCCCGTGAAGCGCCGGAGTTCTGACGGCTTCTGATGGCTTCTGACAGCACCTGCAGGACTAAGGAGCATCGTCAGTCCATTGCTTTCATCGAGCAGGCAACGCGCGACGCGCGGCGTGCCGCGCACCCGTGCACGCGGCGCGGACCACGTTGACCACGAAGCCGGAAGAAGCCTATGTACGTATATATAGAACAAGATGGTTTTCCGCACCTGTTTTATTGTTTACATATCCATCATTGTTAGAAGGAATTCACTTGAATGATGTTTGTTTTCAAGTCTTGCACCATGTTATTCCATGCAAACCTTGCACTGGTGTTGTAAACTTTAGATTGATGGGAGAACTCTTGCAGGACTGTTTGGTCCTCCCTTCAGGGTGTATGTGTTGTATGATGGCGCTCAATAAGTTAGATTTGTTGGAGGGTTTGCCAGGTTTGCTCAAGATCCTCAAACGTTAAACGTTTTAGACGAGGCTGTGACCTCGAAACTGACCAGAAGCCTAGAAATCAAAATTTGGAAGTCGAAGATGTGCCAGGTAAGATATCGCCGAACAGTTTCCCTAAAAAACAATCTCCCCAAACAACACACCGTTGCGTTGTGGAGGAGGCGGCTGGAACTTCGAGCCTGCAGCTTTTCGCTCAGGACATGAGTGTTGCGACTATTGGATCCTCACAGCTGGATCTCCAAATCCCAACATCTCCCAAAAGTTGCATCTCTGGGCCTTTGGGTGTATATTATTCCTGGTTGTGCTGATGGGGTGTGTTTTTGGCCAAACTGGGTGAATCTCCTTTCCTGGAATTGTTGTTTCGTTCCTGGACAGCAAATCCAAGCATTGGAGGGTGCAGCGGGGGGGCGTAGGAGTTCCCATTTGTCTTGCACTGGCGTCCTTGAACTCTTGGATTCTGGTGGCTCTGCATGGATTTTGTTGCGTATTTAGGGTCTGTCCTATTACCTGCAACAGTTGGTAAACAATTATCATGAACTATATCATTAATACTATCACTATTTTAGATAAAGGCCTGCAACCTAACCATCATCATCCACTGTTACTGGTAATGGGACATACCCAAATTACAGAATATTCTATTGTTTAGGGGAATGTAGAGGAATATTGGATCCCTTTAGTGAATCTCACCTTCAGTGGATTCCTTTAGTCTAGATGTGTAAGACCATTTGGCATACCAAGACCACTTGATGTTCCAACCCCCAAAAACCAGGCAGATGTCCGCCGATGTCTTCACTTCCAGCTAAAGTTTAGTGCGCAGGGTCATGTGCCTGGGGTATCAATGAGTGCGAGCTGGCAAAACACTTCAATATAGTTCTTTCCTAAATGTATAGTATAGCGAAGGCAGGCGTCCCCTCATGCTGTGCAACCGGACTTAGCCGGGGGGATTGGCTAGGGAAAGTACGTTCACTAGTGCCATGTCGTAAGATTGGTAGTGTGAGCCAATGCAGGCGTGTGGCAATGTCTCTCTCAGCTCCAAACTTTTCTCACCTAGGGGGACATCCAGACGTGAGACACTTGTTCACTCCAAGATATCTTCCACCCTACCTGAACTGCCGGCGGCGCAGAACAACGGTGGTACGGCAGGACGCCCTTTTGCGCGCCACCGAGGTTTTGTGAGATCGATCAAATCGAGGTACGGCAGGTCCTTTCTGGTAAAAGTAAACTGATGATGGGACTTCTGCAGATGCAAGCAGGCTTCCGCAGTGGGATACCTTTGGTCTTTCCCTCCGAGTTGATGAGCGATAGTGTCCATCCCAGTCAAAGAAAGAGTTCAATTGGGTTCCGATCGGGATCAGGGACTCCCCGTCCTTATAGATTTTATGGGTCCAAGGATAGTAGAGTAATGAGATGTAATGAGTATGCCTATGTTTCCTTATGCATCCTTAGACCCTTTTGCAAGAATGGGTTCAGGGTGGTGAGATCATCCATACTCTTGGACCACTGACGCCGACGCCACAGGAGAAGATGAACCACACCTTGTGCTGCCCTCGGCCGAATCTCAGGGATTTTCGCGGAATTGACATGAGTGCACCATGGGAATGGGAGGATCACGTTTTTGCTTCGCACCATGACGTGGACAGATGGACAGATATTGAGAGGGAGTCATGTTGCGCGGATCGTGACTGAGGGCGAGTTGAAATGTTGGAATTCCCTTCCGAGTTCGTTGTCAGAAAGCTCGTTTTCTGCTCACTAGCTCCTGATCATCCACTCCATACTAATAGAGCTAGCATGTCTTTCTATGTCATGTCTTTCTTGCTGTGGATGGGACTTTGCAATGAGAGAATGATTTAAAGTCAGCTGCCATGGAATCCGCCATTGGCTTCTGTGGACTCGCTGGTACCCACATTCCCTCTTTTCGCGGGTTCGAATCCTTCCATCCTTCAACGACCTGGGCCGGACCGGTTCATCCAGGTTTTCGGGAATGTCCAGGTTAGGACAGGAGATGTCAGGAGTCAGGATGGACGAGTTTCGGACCTACCCTGGACCTTTGGAGCTATTGAGGTCCGCAGGTCCGTCTCTGGAATTGTTCGGAGATCCGATCCCGGACTCTGCATGTAGATTTGCCTAAGGATTCCAAGGATTCCACATATAGATTCAGTGGGTCAATGTAAGCTTTATAGTATCATGGTCCATGCATGGATGGAACGTTCGACTGGTCCAACGTTTCGTCGTTTTCCATGTTTCGTTCGCACCGTCGATGGCCGCAGCTCGTTGCTCGAAGCACCGATCTGCTGCCGTCGGATCGCCGCTGAACGACCGCTTCCGTCGACCGCTTCGCTGGACCCAACAAAGGGGAGAAGGGTTGGGTCGCGCTTCTCTCGTGGCAGGTGTCGCAACTCTATGGGCCAACAAGAGGTATGGGATTGGTGTTTGGTGTTTGGGTATGTTTGGGTGTTTTGATTGAGGATTTATGCGTGGATTCTTGTTGCAAAGTCGAATCTACACATAAACACCTGCCATTTGTGATTTACAGACTGAGAGGATGATAGATGTTCGGGTTTGAGCCTGAGCTCGCTTAACACCGGCCACTGAGCAATCCCAAAGAAGTCCTTTTGAAGAACGGGGTGTCAATGTGTTCGCTACCCACCTGACTCACTAACATAGAAGTGGATGGCATGATCCCTGTGAACGCCACTTCCATGTGATGTGTTCCTCGGAGCGTATCCACTAGTATACCCTATAAAAAATGAGAGATGAATGTCCCGAACCTCAAAGAACTGCTAACGAGTACGACTGTATACCCATGGGAACCACCTCGGTCGAACCCGAGCGACTCCGAACTCACCTCCACCTCGAGTCGACTCCGCTCGCGGAACCAGGGACGCGGCCAACTCCCGACGGAGCGTGAACTTCCAAGCAAACGGCGGCCGGGCGCTGAGCCGGAGCGCGAGCTGCGGGCCGAGCGGCGCGGAGCTGTAGCTGTCTGGAGTCAAGGGGCAACCATGGTCAACCTGGCGTTATTGTGATGGGTTATATATGTGTTTTTCATAGGGGGACTGGCCCAACCAATATTGAGGTTGTCTTTTTTTCATATTCTCCAGAGGTCGAACTGGGGGGTGTTGTTATATTCCAATACACACTCATATGTGTTGGATGGGATGTGATAGGGAATCTACAGTAACAGTTGGAATATTGTTAGTCTACTTCCTGGTTCCTTGCGCCAGTCTAGGGCTTGGGGTTGGTGAACAGCATTTGAAGAGGGAGTTTGTCGGGGATCATTGTTTATGGGTTCATTTGTTGTCAGTTTCATTGGCATGTGTGAAAGGCTAGTAATCGGTAGACAGGAGCTCATTGAACTCCATTGTCACCGAGCCTTCTCAGAGGATGCAGGAGACCAATTGGTACACGGTCGTAGAGCCGTAGAGAGCGTGGTGACCTCTTCTACGGTCGCTGCCAATCAGATATGATCCAAAGACCTGCCAAGCTATCAGATGGAAGATAGTTGTTTTTACATGTTTTTTACCTAATACTAATATACGTAGATCCTCTCAAATACTTGTTGGAGACGTTACGGATGTTCCAACCATCCCCAATGCTTTGAGATTCGGTCTCTCAGTAAGTCACTTCACAACCGGATCCAGTTACCGCTATAGCTGGTATCCAGTGGTTTCAAAGACTACATCAAACCATAGACTTAGAAACCCTGGTTCCTTATATAGCGCAACTGGGATCCACTAAGCCACATATGAAATATTGTTTTTTCGGGCTAGTGCTTTGGATCTGTGTGGGACACGGACATCAGCTTCTTTCCATCGATGTTGTTTCCACTCGTGCCACCCCAAACCACCCAACGTTCACATTCTGAGCCATCTCGGCCAAAGATGGATTGGGGAGCCGAAAAAAGGGCTCGCAGGTTTGACCTGACCCTCACCTCCGATCGAATTGGTCGAAATATACCGGCTTTCCTCCCCAGAAACTGTGTGTACTTCAATGTTTGTTGGATATAGAGGTTCGGCAGGTTTGCTGGTCAAGCCCTGAGATCCTGTAGGGATCTGTATCGGGTGCGCATGCCTTGATGTTTGCAATGTTTTATCCGAGACTTCTACTTTAAATAAATCCAATTTACTGGAAAACAATTGCTCTTCTTCAACACAATGCCAGAAGTATACTTGAAGTATCCAAAGAAGGCAACTTTGTAAATCCAAGAACTTCCACCACTTTCCTCCATGTAGGGCATTCCAACATCTGGGAATCCCCGTTCGGCGGGCTCGTCGGTCGGAATTTCGGTGGTCCGTGACCGGAAGAGGCCGTTTGGTGAAGCACGGGTGTCGCAGTTGTTTCAAACGGGGTCGGGGTTGGGTTCGAAAAGGTCGCCACTTCTTGGGTTTTCCGGTTGGTTGGTACTGGGCAAAGTCAGGAAAAGTGCATCACCTGCTCTTTTTTTTGGGGGGGGGGCATTGGGGACACCTCACCCACCCCACTCAACAAGGTCAACCCTGATTTTCCATAGGAAAGCCCCGGGACCCGGGACCCATCGCCAGACCCGCACCGCTGGTCTTTGAAAGGAATCGCCAGCAAGTCCCAGTGGTTGGTGGCGATCTATAGAGAATTACCAGTGGTTGGTTATAGAAAGGATTACTTTATAGAATTATATCTATAAAGTAATCCTTTCTAACTGGTGCAGGGGTCCCTTCATTCTGAGACCAACACTTCCAAAAGGATTTCACTATACGGAATCTTTACCATACAGTGAGATCTGCTCAATCGCCGGTCCAATTCCCGTTGCAACCCGGTTGTTTTGGGACCCAGTCTCTTTACTTGTGCATTCCCTGAAAATGATCAGGGAAGTGGATGGAAAAACAGGCTCCTGGAAGACGATGCTACTCGTTTTCTCTACCAGGTGGGGTGAACTCACTCCACGAAGTGGAGTTGTTCCTTGAAGAGTACCTTCTAGTTCTTTGACATGTTAAAAAAGAAGGTACTATCCAAGGAAAAACTGTGCATCAGTCCACATGGTTCCTTCATGTTCCTTCCATCAGACCATCAGTGCACACGGTTGCCTTCCATCAGTCCATCTGAGCTGAGCTGAGCTGAGCTGTTTTTTTTCCCGAAGACCGCGCCATGATCGCCAACGATCGGCAGGTGGTACTGGAGAGTTAGTTCAGGCAGACACCTTGCGCTTGGATCAGGCGGGTGAGAGGGTGAAGTACGTGGCTTTAGTGAGAGTGTTGAGGTATGTTGAGGTGTAGCTAACCATAGCTAACCAAAATCATGGGGGATCGAGTTTATGACTCCACCCGTTCCAACCTCTTTTGACCTGTTTTTTTTTTTTTTCCCGTCGCATCAGAAACAGATGCGTATAGCCGAAGCTTTTATTGAAAGTGATATGACATATGGGGATGCTAGGGGTTTAATCACACGTCTTTGTGCAGGGCTCGTTATTGCTTCGAGAGACATAAGGAAAAGAGGTGCGAACCCGTATCCATGTTGAAGCCAACACCCCAGACGATTCGTCAACAAATGATCAGGACTGTAGATGCGGACTCTATTGAAATTGTACATGTTTAAGGGATACAAATGATACAACTTCACACACATATGGATCAGATCTTCTGCGAGCAGTTCATCTCGGTTCGGTTCGTATTGGTTCTGAAAAACTGATCATGCACCTATATAGGTTCATTTTGTATAGTTTTGTATGCATCTCATCTATGTCCTACTATTGGTGCGGCCCCAGACTTCTGTCCAACAATGCCTGTCCATATGACTTGTATGTCCTTTTTCTGTGTCCATCCACTCCGTTGTATCGTTCATCTCTAGGTCGACCATGTCGATCATGTATATTGTATATAGTTTGTATACATCATCTAATTAGGTGTTATACATTAGGTCTCATCATTTCTTACTTCTTTCTTTCACTCATCATCACAAAAATATATCATTGCATCATTTGCATCACCAGCTCCATGAAAGGTACACAAACGACTTGTTTAAACAGTCTTGGTCATTTCTCACCGCAAGCGTACCACTTCATGTCCTGTACCCGTACCCTGCAGTCTTGCATATCTTATTCCACTCCGCTCACACCTCATCAGATATGCATGTCCCTTCCCAAACAAGGCACCCCTCCCCCGGGCTAAAGCGAGAGGCGCTCAGTGTTCGCGCCCCAACACAATCACGCCCCTCAGAACCTTTTGGTGTGGGCGGATTATGACCTTGATTCTTCCTTCAACCAGGACGGGAGGTAATGGACCGAGTCGGGTTTAGTTTATATATGTTTATATAGTGGCCTACCTTTCGGATCCAAACAACTTGCGACGGATAGGATTTTGGCAAGCAAGTGCTAGATGGGTGGGAAGACCCCACAAAACACAAGTCAATAGTTCTAGGCCATGTAGCAATCAACGCAAGGGGATTTGGCTCGTTCCCCATGCTCCAACCAATCCCTTTCTCGGTCTCTCCAGGTAGATACCGTTCCAGAAGAAGGCGGCTGGGCTGGAACTGGAAGAGGGCTTCCCACACAGCTTGGCCTCGCCAGCAGTGCCAGAGAGGTGCATTCCGGTAAGCCTGTCAGGGATGCCAATGGAAGTGATTATATACGTAGGTGTTTTGTTGTCTTCCGTAGTCCTTGTTTGTTTTTGGCATAGCTTTGGGCCAACTAGTGTTTTAGACCATTTGTTTTGCGATTGCTCTTTATGCACATTAGCATACATCTCCATGTGAAACTCCAGATGACATGCTCTTTCATGGCGGAGGAATAAGCTGTTGGTTGGCAGCCTCCAACATCACCTCTTTTGTGCTTGCAATTTAAATCATGCCCAAACGCTCCAACCAGTTACCACGATGCCGCTGGTAAGGAGTGATTCCATAACCATAGACCTAGAAACCATAGTGGATACATTTATGGCAACTGGGTCATGCCCTGTGATCAATACCTCCACCAGTGAGGGGGTAGCAGGAATCTCTCCAGAGAGAGAATCCAATTCCCAAGAGAAAGAATAGCACCACTCTCTCTCTCTCTCTCTTCTGGTTTTCTGATTCTTTTCTGTGATTTTCCGGTCTGCACCCGTCCCATGGTGCCCGTCCCATGGGCGCGTCGTGGCGTGGCGTCGAGGCGAAGCCGGGCAATCCGTGACCGCTGAGTCGGAGCGAAGCACCTCGGGGGAAACCCGCGCCGTGAAGCGGTCGGGGTCGGGAACCGCGATGGGGTCGCGTGCTATGCCTAGGATGATGGACAGCAGGGGCCATTGCTCCGATCGATTGGTGTTTGGAGGTGTTGAAGTACAGGTGTTTGCATGAAGTGATGGTGGGTCCTGGTATCTTTCTCGCCTTGGTTGGGCCTCTGAAAATGCACGGGCCTAAACATCAATACTTCATTCACAAAGGAGGACTGGCTTCTGTTGACCACGACTCACGCGCTTCGGTGTCTCAACCAGCAGTGCCACAGTGCCACCCCAAGAGCTGTTGCAACGCATTGACCCTTAGCGCATCTTAAAAAATCAGGAAATCAACCCAATGGATCAGCTAATATTCCAGTCCCAGGTCTAAGGGAAGTGAAGGAAACCAACAACTTCTGCTCATTGTCCCCAACAATCTGGAGGGAACATCTTGAGAATGTCGACATCCCCCCCCCCCGAGTCATAGTGACTTCGTCCGGCTGGACTTCGTCTCAGCAACCGAAGAGTGTCCGGTGCGAAAACCGAGCAGTTGGTTCAATTGTGGTCATTGATATCATGATCCAGTGGACAAGATAGAGTGAACCAAATTTCAATCAGCAGACTGTTTCATGTAACAGGTTTCATGAGGGGACATTGTAGGAAATGACTGATCATTTAGTTTGTCCTCAAAGGGAGGATTATGTATGGTCCTGGGAAACTCTGTATGAAATAATATCGATATATGATATATCATGTATAGATAATGCGGTTCTGACGATTTTGTGCTAAAGTCATGTAGGTGTCGGTTGATAAATCTGCACGATTCGTGTACTTTCTAATGTTTTCGACTGAAACGGTCAGTGGTTTCGACATCCATCCTGAAGGATTTCCCTTAATCCATCCTGTATAGCAGTTCATGATTTGTGAATGGACCCTGAAAACCACTGGTTGGTAGAGGAAACCACTCTTCCAGGGGGCCAGGACGTCAGGGGCTATGTTAGTTTTCGGGAGTGTACCTGTCTTTCGTCGTTCGGCCGATCCCTTGCAAAAAGCTAGATCCCATGCAGTATGGACCTCCTGATAGGGCCCTACCCATTTGACGTTGGGGAACGGGAGCTGCATCCCCAAAAAGTAAACAAAAACACCGAGCATATCTGAGCATTTGCAAAGTTCAAGGTCCCTTCTTAAAGAACCCAGACTTGCTGAAAGGATACTACATTGCCACATTGCTGTTTCCTAGATCCATAGGAATAAAGAACAACAAAGACGCAACAAAGGCACCAATCAAATCAAACGACTCAGGAACGCTGCAGGATCCAAGCGAAACGAACCCAAATGTTTCGACAACTGACAACTGTTTGAGCGAATGCTATTGAACCAAGAATGAAACACGTCCACTGTGTATCCCATGGAATGCATCCCTGTCTTGAGATATCATCCAACATACTAGCGATGGCTTCCAACCTATCCTAAAAAACCTATTTAGAGTGACCCCGAAGTGTCATGAAGATGATGGCGGGCGCACCAACCAGTGATTTCCACGAAGGGTTGCATCCAACCTCAGATCCGTTCCGGTTTCACTGGACACGTTTCACTGGTGGGACACTGACTTTCCGTGTTTCCCCCACTGGACGGCACGGTGGTTGTGGCCGGACATGCGAGGTGAAAGCCAGTCCTCACCCAGCAGGAAGCGATGACGCAACGGGGCATGTCCCGCCTTGGGGGGGTTCAAGTGTTCATATATCGACGGCGCAGTCGAAAGCTTGGCATTCTTCCCACTGAAGTCGTCCAGGACGTTGTGCCAGCTATAGCAGGGGCAACGTAACGTTATTCCGAATGGAGAATTGGTGTGATACAAAAATCACCACCAGCATGTTTTGCAGAATGGTTTGCAGGGATGAAACATGAGAGAGCGAAGGTGCCCTAGGCCTCCAAGTACGTTCGGAGAAGGTGTTTGGGGTGGGTTTGGAGGGTCCAAATACCTTCTGAGGAGGTACTTGGAGGTGTAGGGGTGTAGTACGGTACCAGTCGTGGAACCAATGCGTTTTCGGAAAGAAATTTGCCGGAACGACAATGGGAGGACATAGACGACCCAGCATGTGACCAGCAGGTCGTGAAAGAGAAAGCCGGGCTGTAGCCCGGTGTTTGAGACCCACATGGAACTTGAAGAGATGGACTTTTGGAAGACAATGATTTCTATTTACTATAATTCACATATAGCTTCTAGCTACTAGTAGTAATGGGCTCCACCCTAGTAGCGATGGCCTCCAACCTACAAGCGATGGCCTCCAGTATCCTTTACATGCCAGTAGTTTTCAGGTTCCATATGTTCTTTTTGCAGGGAAACGAGAAGAAAAATCACCGTCGGAGGTCGCTTATATATCGGTGATCCTTGAGGCCTTTTGCAAGCAGGTCAGGAGGTTTGTTCTTCACAACAGGTTGGTTGCTTGGCTACTAGTACCAAGAAGCTATTAGGGGCTCCTGGCCTTACTACTAGGAGCAAGGACGCTACGAACGGGGCTCCGGAAACCTTTGTCCAAGTGGTTGGCCGCGCTGACGAGCCCTGTGTCCTTCTCTTGTCAAGCTGGTGTACTCCTGCTGTCCTGTGGCCTCACTGGCAAACGCTGTGTCCTTCTCTTGACAAGCTGTGTGCTCCTGCTGGCAAGCTCTGAGTCCTTCTCTTGTCCTGCTGTTCACCTCCTCCTTTCCTGTGGCCGCGCTGATGAAGCCTGTGTCCTTGTCGTGTTGCCGCGCTCGTCGCAAGCTCTGTGTCCCATCCGGCGGTTGAAACGTTACGTAATCCGAGGGCGAAGTGCTGGACAGTGACAGTTGCTTTAAAGAAGGTTCGATACTGTGGTGACTTCATTGGGCTATGACACAGCTGCCGAACATATGCCCAGGATATCCCAAGACCCACTTGTGCTTGATTATATATATTCATCTCTGGCAATGAGGCGGTTTGTCTCTTTAAGCGTCGCCAACACCACAAGAACGCACAGATCATCTCCGTTTTTGGGATCCAGAAGATGAATGCATTCCAGTGGGTTGTCCGCAGGCCACAGGCCATTGATGTATGTAGGTGTTGGTGTGAACTTGAAGGTCACCATGCGAGATCGAACTGCAATCAGCAGGAGCTGGCCCAGATGACCCGCGACTTACGTGGGCCGGAAGGCTTCCCATATCAACGGTGATATATGGTTGAGAGGCCTGACTACTCGTGCGACCTTTTGGTTGCAACAAGTCTTTGCCAAGACTTTTCATCTGCTGGTCCACATCAAGGAACTGGGGTTGTTTCATGCCTGCAGAGTTTGTTTTTTGGCATCTTCCCCCGGCAGGAACAGATCAACACTATACGGCAGTTCCTCTTAAGTTTCCGGCCATTTGATCAGCGTGGTTGCGGCCATGATCTTGGCCCTCCGTACAGGTCGGTCCGGTCTAGCAAGCAAGGTGTGTCTGGAGAAAGAAAAGCTACAGCAGTCACTTACATCTTGGTGTGGCTGGCACTTTCCACCACCCATGTGCGCATGTTGGTTTACCATCGCGGAACAGACCATTGTTGAAATCTGAAGCGGTCAAGTTTGAATAGGTGAGAGCGCATTTTGCCGATGGATAGGCTCCCACTTACAGCTGCCCAGCAACGACTGCTTCTCCGGCCCTTTGCGGAACAGAGTCAGAAGCATCTTGACAGTGTTTCAATTGTAAGACTTACTCAGGCCTTCAGGATCAAGTAAAACCCGGTGAAGGTTAGATGCACTGATGAAGAGGAGGAAGAGGTACTGATGAAGAGGCTAAGGTGTTGAATCTGAGCATCGAAGTGCGAAACTGTGTGAAGGGATAGTGCACTTGGTCAAAAACTTTGTGTCAAGTTGTATGTCACTTGGTCAACCGAATTGTTGGTGGTTCAATGATGTTCAAGGTCCTTAATTAGACTGCATTTGGACACGTGAAGTTTTGAAGATCGATGAGGGGGAGTAGAGTGTTTGGGGAAGACTTTTGGATTCAACATGATCACCACCTTGTACACGCTGCCTTGCAGGACATGGCCAAAGAGTGCTTTGAATATGCGGGTGCGGCAGGCCTGCAAACTCGCGCGTTCTTCGCGCACTTTCGCGTGCGAAACCGCGCGCGAGGAACGCGCGATGAACTGAGGGACCAAAGGTTGGGACAATGCTTACAGCTGAGATCAGCTGAGCTAGAAAGAAAATATTCAATGAGCTGAGCTAGAAAGAAAATACAAGAACCATTGCGTCTTCACTGCAAAGGTTCATCTGCAAGTTTTTGTCTCCTGTATCTCCCCCTCTCTCTCCCTCTCTGTGTTTAACAGATAAAAACATGCCGTCATTAAACAGTGAACCCCAGCCATCCCAGGCCGCTGCCTGGGGGCCGGTCCTTGGTGGATGTCGATGCGGATCGGCTGATCGGCGTTGATGGTCATGTCTCCCAACCTTTGGACGTTCGACCGCTTGGTTTCATGACTTCAAACCACAGATGACCTTTTACCAAACCAGAAGCGTTTGAAAAGCATCAAACGTGATCCCACCATCATCCAAAAAGCCTACATTCCGAAAAGAATCCATGGGGCTGGAATATTTGCCAAGGGCCAAGGTCAATCTTCCAGTCCCATGGATGGTCCAAGCGGATACTTCCCTAAGCTTCATACCAACCAACCTCGCCAATCTTTACTACATCACCCCCCAAAATCAACCATTCGCCAGAAATTCACACTATATATATTATATATGTATATGAGTATAACCCCCGATGGGCTACAGTTCCATTGTCGTCGCCTTCGTTGCCACACCGTGCCCTCCGCCCGCGGCCAACGCACGTGGCGCAGTTGATTCAAGTGGCGGGCTCCTCGAGACCCGACGTGACCCAGGCGCGGCGTTTGAGACGACGAGGGCGACGGACCGGTGAAGGGAGAGCGGGTTGACTGAACAAGGTTGAGGTGATCGGGCTTGTCAGAGCATGTGTTGAAGTAGGAAGAGCCTCCAACCAATGGGGTTTAAAGATGCTAAGATGCTTTGTTTCTTGAGTGGGATGACCCTTCAGCCCGGGTTTAAGATGGTTTAAGTATGTACAAGTGTTTCTTCAGGTGTTTTTTTTGGTTTTGTGTTTCGCTTTGTTTGTCGTATTCCTTACAATCACGTCCATGTTGTTTTCATGGTGATGCTCGACATGGCCCGCAAACTATGAGCGATGAAGAACCTTTGGCCTGTGGCAGTGACGGCAGGCTGACATGGTCCGTTGGAAAGCTTTAACAGTGACATGGACAATGACAAACAAAAACAATGAACTTATAGAATAATCATCATAAAGGACATATACAACGCAATTTGTTGTTTCTATGTTTTCATTTATTGGACAGTTTTGACATTTTGGACATGGCCCTGTTTGTAGAGGAACACTTTCACACGGAAATGGAATGAAGTGGATGGCATTGCCCTTGCATGCCGATATTCCCTCTGCAAATATGGTGGTTTTCCTCACACAATGTTTCGCTAAAACCAACCTGATTGGGTGAATTGATCCACAAAAGGGTCCCCAAAGTGGAAAACATGACTCCCAATCGTACTTGTAACATACACGGGAGGTCACTTCCACCTCCGTTGTCAGTAACGCAGTCAGTCAGTGGATAACCTATGAAAACCTTGTTTTTGGGGATTGGGGACACTATTATATGACAAATGAAAGCAAACAGGTGAACCTTGTTCAAGGGAACCTGAGGGAGTCAGTGTCATAGTACGTCGTCAGACACTCGGGGGCCCATGAATTGCTGGAACTGCTTTATCGATGATTTGGACAATTTTCTGTGTAACATGGTGGCGACAAAGCGAGTCCCATTGACATATAGCGACCAAAATAGTTTGGATATGTGAAGCAGTTCCATCTTCCATATATACCAAACATTACCAAACTCTATGAATCACACAACGGATCAGCTCTGAGATTAGCAGCATCCGTGCTGCTACTTCTGGATTCCGTCTTCAATACATCGTTTGACTGTTCTGAAAGTGACCAGGATGAGTTGGACATCACCTTCCTGAGAAAATACAAGATGTCCAGACAAGAGCTCGAGGCGAGATCGTGTGAAAGAAAGGCGCCTTTGCGTCGGTTCCTTGCCGGTTCCTTGCCGGTTTCCATGGTGTGTTGTGCCGTGGTTCCGGTTCGACGCATGAAAATTGCGCGCTTTGCGTGTGCTCAAGTTGCCATAGTGGTGGTGGAGGTAGTGCTAAGGGACCAAGGGGTAGGTTTGCTTGGACTTGGTTGTCTTGCATCATATGCTTGCATGTCTAGCATCCCACTCAGTTCCAACTCGATTCCGATCAAAGCATGATATTGACATGGAGCATGTGCTTTTTCAAGGCTTACATCAAGTCAGCAAATAGGCGGCAATGAGGGTGGCTACTCCCAGACATTCCCAGACCATCCATGTATAGAATATATTCACCTACACTTACCCCATTTATGACTCTTGACCCAAGCAACTATTCCATACATAACCCCCAAGTATTCCATACTATTCCAGTTATGATCCTAATGCAAGTAAGGACTGTAACCCCCCAAGTTGAAAGTGCAGGGGGCGGGATTCCGATGATCAGCTGTTCAGAGCCTAGGGAATAGTATGGCAGATGCTTTTGGGAGGAGTCAGTAGGGCGGATGGGGAGAGTATGGCTGCTTTGCATCCGGAAGAGTACGCCCCTCTTTTCAATGGATTGGTTGTTGATGTTTCCTACTGGTGGTCTTCAACTGGAGGGCTTTGCCAACCCCATGAGATGTCCAACATGTTTTCGATCCACATGTCAGGTAGACATTTAGTTTCAGGTACTAGTATTTTCAGGTCGTAAAGCAGCCCACAATTTTATTCAACTACATAGTTGATGGCGGGTTGATGCAGATTCCGCCTCAAGTTGACCCAGAGATCGTGGGCCGTTCCTTCTAAATCTTCTAACTGCGCATACTCTTCAAGCTGCTAGAAGTTGTTTGCCTCCTTCCGCAATCTAAAAGTTGTTACTCCCCTTTAGTTACCAATGTGATCTCTCATATGGGATCGACTCAAAGACCTGGAAGGCATCTGAAGAGATTGATATGACCATCTCTATAGTCATCCCCAGCCTTCTTATTCTTTCGTCTTGGCAATCCGCTTTGGTCCACCTACAGAAACGGAAACCGCACGCGAACCTTCGCCAGGTTCTAGCCTCGCGAATGGGTCTCCAACTCCAACATTTGTGTTTCCTGAAGACTCAGTTCGACCTTTTCGATCAGGCAAAAGGGCGTGGGCGGGCGCCGACCTCGGTGTTGGTCTCGGTGTGGAACACGCGACATACCTCCCCAGCTGGTTGGTATGTCGAGTGGTTCTTCGGTGTATCTTTTGGTCATGGACATGGAACCTCGGTCATCCATGGTCCCAAAAAGTAATTCCGAGTCATTCAGCTCAGGTGAGGAAGATTCTTGACAGAACTGGGGCATTAGCTTGTCTTGGGATATAAAGCATGGTTTTCCTGGTGTAGGAGACTCTCGGAATCAGGCGCTCGCAAACATGCAGGTAGGTTTGCAGGTCTTTTTGTGGAAAATGTCGTTCATCCAGGTGAGCACCTACCCAGACAATCCATGGGACTGACCCTGAAAAACAACACCCCAATTGATAGGCAAACATTCCAGTCCAAAGCATAGTTAGGCCTATATCTAGGGTTCCCCCCAAGTTCGATCACACCGACCACACGCTGCTACCTGTAGCCGCACCCACCTGTAGCCGGTCATCCCGTACAGCGTTGCTTGCATAGTTGGCGTTTTGCCTAGTGATTCCTAATGGTTGGTGGATGAATAGAGGGCATACCCTCAAGTGTACAACCAATATATAATAATATATATATATATTGGGTCTGTCCGAGCTTACCTGTAACAGTCTGTAAACAATTATCAGGTTTTAAGAGAAAGGCCTGCAACCAATCCATCATCATCCACTGAAGCCTGGTAATAGGATAGACCCAATTGATGTAGCTCACACAAAAACCGGTTGATCCTCTTTGGACCCATGGTCGTCCGACCTCTACCCGGACGCCGGACGCCGGGCGCAAGCGCAAGCGCAAGCTGTTGGCACCAGGATCAGAGCGGCTACGTGAGCGCCGCTGAGCTTCGGAGTCTCTTCGTGAAGCTGGGCGAGGACGGTGCGACGGGGCGGCGAGGACGTGTCATGGCACTGGGGACCCCCGGGCGTTTTTTCCTCACGGAAAGTGAACAGAACCGACTACTAAGAAGGTCAACTTCCTATAGGGTTTAGGGGCCCTAATAGGTTTGGACCCACACTCAGATTGGAGCACGTTTTTGGGGGGGTGGTGTTCAGGATGTACTTTTTGGATCCCTCTTTGCGGGAGCAAGTTGCTAGGGGTGTGCACTGGGATAATTTTTGGGGGTTGTGTACTTGATTGATATGTTTGTTTACTTTTGGCAGAAATGATGAAAATTGAGATGAGATGTTTTTTTTTTTTCTATCGACTCTATTTAGTCATGGATTGTATTTTTGTTAGAACACCAACCAAGCAAGCACAAGTTGTTTGCACCCTTCAGCAAGTGAGTGAGCGCCCTTTGTTGGCCCGACAAACTGAATTGATCTCAATGGAACGTGCGTCCCACTTTCCTGGAGGTTCTGGGAAGTTAGACATGTGACATAGCACAAGCAAGATCCAGTTATTTTCAGGATCCTTAAATAGGAGTCGTGAAGGTCTTTGGAGTTTGGGCATGGTTTTAGGGTAGGTTTGGGGTTGCTCCATCTATACTACTAGACAATGGCTGGATTCATACTGTCTCGTTGCATTGCAAAAGAACAAAAACACACGAACACTGTCAGGCCGGACTTCCCAGTGCTGTTTTTTTTTCCAGGACATCACAGAAGAGAGCCTGGTTGGAGACCCCAGAGCAGTAGCGGTGGCAGAACTCTCGAAGCAGCTGTTGAGGATTTGGTTACAGGATGTTGCAGGAGGCCCAGTGTTTGATCAAACCCATGCACTCTGGGGCAAAGACGGTGTCCTAAGGACTTAGGGAACAGCTTTTTGTGATGTGTTTGAGACTTTGCATTTGTCAATGAACATGGCCAGCACCAGCTCCTTGGATGACAAGGCAACAGAGTAAGACTTTCAATGTGGCAATTCTAGGAGGAATCCTTTGACATTGTGTGACGTCAATTATATATCCTCATTGGATATTACAATATTGGATTTGGAATATGTTTAAGTGAATGCTACAAAAAAAGATCATCCCACTTTCCTATTGCTGCACTGCCTGTGATTGTTTGATGTTTCCGTTACTTGAGGATCACTGATCCTCAAGGAGAAAATATGTTGGACGCTCCAGAAACTGTACAAGTTAAATGTCTGATGTTTCTTGTTAATATGTTCTTTCGCAAAACACAAATCCTGTACCTGTGTGAAGTGATGTTGCTCCCAAACAACTGTTACACATGTAGAGCCTGTTTGTGGGACCGGACTGGGACGCCCCCGGAATCGGCCCAAGGCCGACGCGGTGCGCGAGCTGGATAGCGATCAGAGCGGCGAGGCAGAGCGACGGAACGGGGTCGGTGTTACGAGTGGCCCAAATCGATTTCATGGGGATGTATTTAGGGACGTACTCATGAGTTACTTAGGGATTTCATGGGATTTCATTGATTCAATACGTCACGTGATGTATACTCATGTCTACTCATCGTACTTTTAGCGAAAAAAGGATCAGCTTGCTGCTTTGACGTGATAGATAATTATGCAAATTTGCCACTTTTCGAGTTAAGGGCGTTGAGGGGAGACCACAAGGACCTTCCTGGTCGTTGGGACTGGGAGAAACTGAGGGATGGAGCAGAGGGCCTCAACAGAGGTTACGACAACTCTTGAATAATGTGGTGCTTTTGTATGGTAACCCTGAGGCAGAACAGAGTCAAAGAGGGCAGTGCTGTTCAAAATTAGAAGAAAGGGAGGAGGAGTAAATGCAAGATGAGATAGGCAATGATCGGCTGAATACAACTAGGAAGACGCAAAAAAAATCAGAACTGGAGGAGGAAATCAACAGCAACATATTGATTTCTGAATCACAGTTTCGATGAAAGGAACCACCACCCAAGAAAGACACTAAATACGTAATGGGTGGAGGCCGTCAAGGCCAAGCTGGATCCTGGCATGGGGTCTGCCAAAACTGCTTAGATCGGTGGACCTGCGTAATCTGCGTTATGATTAAATTACTCCAACGCACTAACATGGAAGTGAACAACTGCATGTTTTCAGAGGAAAGTACTCTTCCAGGGGGCCATGGTCCACTTCCATGTTAGTGAGCAAGAGTGTACCATATGATGGTTGTTTGGTGGGAGGAGCGACTCGGGAGGATCGACTCCTGGCGTGGGCTTATGTACCACGCTCAAAGCGACGGAACGACCGGATGGCCAGAGCACGACTCACGGCGACGGAACGACCGGAGCGGAGGATTTCTCCGCGCATCGACGAAGGGAATCGGATTCCATCCCACAGGGCATCCAACAGTCGCTGAGGAATCTAGCCACTGACCTCTACAACTCCGGTCACGCTTTTCCACAACTGTACTTGGCGGCCTGGAAGAAGACTGGAGTTCACCAAACAAGACCTTCAAAGCCTATGAGGAGGACTCCGTGAAGATGCTGGCGACGGGGGGCACGGGCGCTGCCTTCAGGCTCGTCCGGAAGGATGACGTTGAACGACGAGAGCGCTGAAGCTGGCGTTGAACGACGCGCAGATGACCTCGAAGCCGAGGTGCAAATGATGTTCCGCCTTCGCCATCCGTTCAGCAATTTTGATCGCCTCCGTTCCAAGGAGGTCCCGCCAGAGAGCAAAGCTTTCGTCAGTTACCTCCAAGAAATGATGAAGGTGGCTGAGCAGAACCGAGCAATGGCGGTGCGAGTTTGATCCGGCCAGGGTGCGACAGATCATCAAGAACGAGCTCAGGAGGGGATGGCTTGGCCACTCAAAAGTCAGCTCCTGACGACAGGCGCTCGCTCTCTCTCATGTCATTTGCAAGGGCCGTGAATGTTCTGACCGGCAAAGGCTCAGCAAACAAGCAAGCGGACGTTGTTCGCATGGTCCTGGAGCACGCGTTGGGCTGTCAGGACGTCGTGTCCAAGGGAAGTTCCGGACTGCTCAAGCAAAGATCTATCCCAAGAAGCTCTGCTGCAATAGCAGATGCCTTCTGCACTCTTGTGTTGTGGTTGGGACTTCGTGGTGATGTTCGATTGCCAACAGAGCTGAGGAGAGTTGCACGAGGTTGGTTCATCCGAAGGCTATGAACACATCCAACCTGACTTTCACGGTTAGGCTCTGCGCCAATGCATGTGCCCGTACCGAGAGCTTGCCAGCTCAGTAATCGCGAAAGGAAAAGCGAAAGGAAACAGTTTGATTGTTTGATGTTTTTCCCCAAACAGCGTGGACACACTTAGGGGTTCTTACGCTAAGGGTTAAGCAGCTGTGCTTAGATCGCTAGGGCCCGCGGGCGTGACCGGCTAAATTCGCTGCTATTTGCAGTGCATTCATGCCTCTCGAAATCGTCGACATGCATTTCGACTGCGCAGGCTCGCGAAATCTGGGGGTTCGCAGCGGGTGCTTCTCGCAACTGCGCTCTCATTGTGGCGATTGGCGCCGTGCTCATTTTTGCACATGGTGGCGACTTTTCGTGACAGGCGCAAGGGATCGGAGTGTTTTTGCTTCGAAGTGCAGATTTCGTGGCAGGTGCAGCTCTTTGGACATGATGGTGATCTTCGAGGCGCTCTGACTTCGTGACAGGTGCAGTGAATCGTGACTTTTGGACATGTGGCTCGTTTTGCAGATTTCGTGGCGAGTACAGCACTTTGTGAACCTCGATGTGCAGATTTCGTGGCAGGCACAGCACTTTGTGAACCTCGATGTGCAGATATCGTGGCAGGCACAGCACTTAGTCACTTTGTGAACCTCGCTGCGCAGATTTCGTGGCAGGCACAGCACTTAATTGTGAACCTCGATGTGCAGCTTTCATGACAGGCACAGCACTCGCACCCACACTCACTCTCACTCACTCTCCCACTCACACTCAACTCTCTCTCACTCTCACCCACACTCACTCTCAACCACACCCTCACTCACACTCACCCTCACTCTCACCCTCACACTCACTCTCATTCTCACTCTCACTCAACTCTCACTCACCCTCACTCACTCTCACTGACTCACTCACACTCACTCACTCTCACTCACTCTCACTCACTCTCACTCACTCTCACTCACTCTCACTCACTCTCACTCACTCTCACCCACTCACTCTCACTCACTCACTCACTCACTCATTCACTCATTCACTCACTCACCACCACCGCCACCGTCACCGCGATCCCCACCTTCATCACCGCCATCACCTCTCTGGACCCCAATGCGTCTAGATCTAGACTTTCTGCCTTTAGACCTCACACACACACTGTTTGGTGTCTCTTGCCGGGATAAATTTTTCGAGTCCGGCAAACTGCCTTAGTTCATCCTTAAAACTTACGACTCACGCACCACGTCGCCTGCGCCGCCCTGTCGTGGTGCACCCTGTCGTTCATAACGGATCTTTTGAGGGCTACGTTGGGCTTTGTCCCATCAGCCTGTAACAAGACCTGTAAACCAGCAGATCATTATTTTAGAGATGGAAAGGCCTGCAACCAGGCCCCATCATCCACTGAAGCCTGGGAATGGGATGTGCCACACTCATCCACAGTTGCTTACTGATCCCCCAACAGCCTTGAGGAATGGTATACATGATATACCTCATGAAAAACTTGGACCCGACTTCGTTCGTACCCCAGAAAATGGGACATGATCCCATTAAAACAGGTGCGATTGTACCATTTTCTGAGGTACGGCCTGAGAATACAGGTAGATAGGCCAGTTTCCATATGGATGGTCTGGGCGACTCCACCTACCTCGCAATGCCCGTCTGGGCCAACTCTGGTGGAGAGTCGTGATGAGAGTTCAATCCTCCCCGAGACCTGAAATCACATGAAGAGGTCTTACAACATAAATTGTAATGTTTTTGACCATTTCCCCTTCAATTCCACGGCGCCCCAACAAACGTTCCATTCACCTCATGGATGGCCTGGCGGAGCCCACGGACCGGGGCTGGGTGCTGTTCCCCCACACATTCACCTCGTGACTGACGGTTTGCTTCACCCAAACATACGACCCGTGAAAACAGCCCTACTTCCGGTACGACCGTTCCCTCAATGAACCAAGACCCAGGATGTTTCTGTTAACCCCCAAACCGGGTCGGACCCAAGACTTTTCGCGGGTCCGACCCACCTGCATCTCAGATTGAATTCTTCGAGTTCGTGGAATGGTTCTGCGCCCAGTGAGACTGACCGAAGCCGCCAAGAAGGCGCCCGTCAAAGAGAAGCGCCCGGGGGGTGATCGAATTGGGCGAAGATGCAGGTGGCTGGGCCAGGCACAGTGTTGAAATCAAGGATCAAACATGCAAATTCCCAGTGCTAGTGTTGTTTCTTTGTTTGTTCGGCCGACTCTCCTAAAAGGCTTATATATCCAATATAGGTTGTAGTACTGAAGACCACAAGAAGGGATTCCCAGAATCAGTTGGACATTGTCCACAAATTTGATGTGTTTGACCGTTTTATGTTGAAATTCACAGAATGGTTGGGCATCATCTCATTGACTGCTTGTAGCTACAAAAACCGGTGGTTTGGTGGATCGATCTTTGTGGATCGATGTTCGGATCTACTTCGATCGATCTATAGGGCGAATTGGTGCACTGCCGAGACGTCTCGGATTGACGTCTCGGGTTCCGAGCCTGACTGCAGGACCTGACCGCAGGACTCCAGGGCTGCATGTGGGGGCATTTCTGGTATGTTGTGATGGAAACATCGGAGGATGTCTGATGTTTTTGGATGTAGGTTAAGTACAGCTAGGGAAGAATGCCAAAAACCAAAAAACTCAAGGGCACTCTAGTTGGAATAGAACAGGTACCGACCTGGACCCGACGTCATTGGTACCCCAGAACATCTAGGACATGACTTGAACCCCCCAAAGAACCAGCTATACGATAGACGTGGTGGTCCCCTCATGTTCGGTACCACTTCAGGGACCTGTATCTCTCAGTCACCAGATGTACCGCGTCGGGTGAGCAACGGAGGTCCCTGGGTCAGAACGCCAGGAAGCTCTGAGCTCGAGCTGCGGTCCACGCTGCTGCGTACGGGGTCTGATCTCAGCTGTTTCACCGGATTTGGGAATTTCCGACGGCAGCGAAAGGGAGGATTCTGGTCATAGAATTCAAATAAAACAATGCCAGACCAGCCAAATGGGACTCGAATATGTTACATACGGATGGTTTGGGTATGGCGGGAAGATCGCAAATATTCGATGTTGGGTGACAGATTTAGCTTTTACAGGGTGACTTCAGCCCACTTCAGCGTGGGTGATAAGACACAATTCTTACGGCGCAGGTCTTTTGCACATTTGTCGAGGTGTTTTTGGTTCCAATTTGGGCGGTGAATTTTTGGCAGAAGAAAACGTCATCCGCGCTGCCTCCGGCAAATCCGAGGTCCGTTTTTGTGTGTCATACCGGCGACGAAAGGAATACGAGGACCAACGGTCAGTTTTATTTAGAGAACCATGTGCAAGGACAGGAACACAAGAAGTTGCCAAAGGCTCATGCAAGGCCAATCCAACTACCCTTTGGGTGTCACTGTGACAGTGGGGGAAACCAATTATTGAGGTATCAAAAGTAG